CCAGCTCCTCTGGTGCTGCTTGGCCTGCTGTGTTCATCCAGCTCTACACCTTGTCATCTCAGATTATCCAGCATCTGCAGTTCCTACTATCTCTATACAGCATCTTCCCCTTTAAAGTGAAGATGAGGTAAACTTCCTCTCATCAGCTGGTTTGCCTCAGGACTTCACTTCCACAGAGGACAGTGGAGCCTGGGATAGTGTAACATATTCAAGCCTTGAGATGTAGGTGTATTTTTTGGAAAAGCTCAGCAGGTCTGGCAGCATCTATGGAGAGAGTTAACGTTTCAGAACAGTTCTGAGGGAGGGCCACTGGACCCGAAATGTTAACTCTGATTTCTCCCCACAAGGGCTGCCAGGCCTGCTGAGCTTTTCCAGCAACTTCTGGTTTTGTTTCTGATTTCCAGCATCGGCAGTCCCTTTGGTTTGAGAGGTGAATTTTTTGATTGCCAAGGGAGTTGAGTTGGGGAGGCAAGCTCATCCTGTCCTGCTATTGAGTCCAGTCTGGCTGAGTGGCTTACTCCTACTCATTTGCAAGACCTTCAGGCAGAAGATGATGAAGGTGTGGATGGGGCATTAATACGTTGGTTAGACCACACTTGGAATATTGTGTTGAGTTCTGGTCACCTCATTGTAGGAAGAATGTGGAAGCTTTAGAGAGGGTGCAGAGGAGATTTACCAGGATGCTGCCTGGACTGGAGGGCAGGTCTTATGAGGAAAGGTTGAGGGAGCTAGAGCTTGGAGCAAAGAAGGATGAGAGGTGACTTGATAGAGGTTTACAAGATGATGAGAGGCATAGATAGAGTGGGTACCCAGAGAATTTTTCCCAGGGCAGAAATGGCTATTACAAGGGGGCATAATTTTAAGGTGATTAGAAGAAGGTATAGGGGAGATGTCAGAGGTAGGTTCTTCACACAGAGAGTGGTGGGTGCGTGTGGAATGCACTGCCAGCAGTGGTAGTGGAGTCAGATTCTTTAGAGACTTTTAAGCGACTCTTGGATAGGCACATGGAGGATAGTATAATGTAGGGTATGCAGGATAGATTGATCTTAGTAGGATAATAGGTCGGCACAACATCGTGGGCCGAAGGACCTGTACTGTTCTATGTTCTAATATGGAAAAATTATGAACAAATTGGAAGTCCTTTATCAGTGCTATATCTTTTATCGGGCTGGGGTATGCTTTTGAGGGCCAAGATAAATAATTTATTAATCGTGTACCGTAATGTCCAGGTACCTCAGTTTCAAACTACTGTGATGTGTCACCAGTTATTTAGATTTTGTAAACAGGGACACAGAATGCACCAGTTAAGGGTTTGCACTGCACACTGATTTGGCTGTGGTTAGAGTTTGTGTGGGTTGGCCCACTTTGTTGTGGAAAGCCTGAAAACTTTTGACAGAAACCAGAGATGAGAAACTGTAGTCAAGATAGAGTTGCAGAGTCGTACAGCACAGAAACAGACCCTTCGGTCCAACCCGTCCATGCTGACTGGATTTCCCAAATTAAACTCGTCCCATTTGCCTACGTCTGGCCCGTATCCCTCTAAATCTTTCCTATTTATGTACCTTGTCCGAATCAGATGCTGGAATATTGGAGCAACGATTTTAGCAAAAGATCTCTTTGAAAAAAATTACTGAGAAGGTACTCAACTTAGTTTAGCCAACAAAAGAACGGAGAATTGCTGTTACTGAGAGTATTGCACCAGGGAATACTTGCCACAGGGAACAACAGCTGAAGTAAGAAAGCATTGCTGCTATTAAAGCAGCAGCCAACAAGCAGCTGAAGCTGTTCCCTGGGGAAAGAGTAAGGAAGTGTGATTAGTTTTGAATTACTTGAACAAAGAGTCACCCACAGCCATCTGTGACCTGCGAGGGGCTTCCTTCTGTGCTGCATGACTGGGGTCAAATTAAAACCGAGTTTTAAATGGACTTGGGATTGTTGAACGGTCACAGCACTAAAGGAGGCCATTGGGCCCAGAGAACATTCGCCAGTTCTCTGCAAAAGAAATGTAGCTGGTTCAGCTCACTGCCCTGATCCTGTACCACTGGAACATTTCCCCCCCCATCCACTGCGGTGCTTATCCTTTTACATGTCTGAAATCCACACTTATATAATCCCAAACTAAACTAGTCCCACCTGTCTGCTCCTGGCCCATATCCCTCCAAACCTTTCCTATTCATGTACTTATCCAAATGTCTTTTAAACATTGTAACTGTAACCACATCCACCACTTCCTCGGGAAGTTCATTCCACGGGCAAACAGCCCTCTGTGTGAAAAGTTTGCCCCTCATGTCTTTATAAATCTCTCTCCTCTCATCCTCTAAAATGTGCCCCCTAGTCTTGAAATCCCCCATCCTAGGGAAAAGACAATTACCATTAACTCTATCTATACCACTCATTATTGTATAAACTTCTTTAAAGTCTTGTCTCAACCTCCTAAGCTCGAGTAAAGAAAAGTCCCAGCCTATCTAGCCTTTCTTTATAATTCAAACCTTCCATACCCGGCAACATCCTGGTAAATCTCTTCTGAACCCTCTCCGGCTTAATAATATCCTTCCTATAACTGGGCGACCAGAACTGGACCCAGTATTCCAGCTTGAGGCTGCCTTCCCCACATCTTTCAGGCCCTGTGTTCCAGATCCTAATCACTTGTTCGCGGGGAAAGCAGACTGTGGTAGTTGTGACACCTCAGTGTCCATTTACTGTGTCACATCCGCGAAAGCTCTAACCTGCTAATTCCTGCCCGAGCCCCACATCATCCTGATTTCGAAATATACCGTTGCTCCTTCAGTGCCGCTGGGTCAACATCCTGGACACTGGCACCACCCCACCCCCCCAACCAAAAAAAAAAACATTGGGTACCATATCCATACTAAATGGATCACAGCTGCTCAAAAACGTTGTTCACCGGCATGTTCTCAGGGGCAACTGGGGATGGGGAAATAAATTGGGGAGGGGGAGTGCAGAGCTCACATCCCCTGAATGAATAGAAGAAACAAAATCATCCTTGTAAATGTTCTCTGCCCGCTCTCCAGTGCCTCTGTCACTCTTTATAATGTAGTGTGGTCTGAGCAAGTTTGGCAGGAATGTCTCAGGGCCAATGATGTAGTTTTGAAATGGAGCGACTTTCCCAGTGAAAACTCAGCAACTAATTTCACGCTGCAAGCTTCCAGGAGAGCAATGTAATAGTGACCTGTGGACTGATTTTTAATTGCCAATTGAGAGATAATGACTGGCCGTATGCCAAGAATACCTTCTATGCTTATCTTCGAAACAGTGCGGGGATCTTTGCTCCCGTCTGAGAGGGCAGGTGGAGCCTTAATGTGGTTTCCCCAGCGCCGCACTGAGGTGTCAGCCCTGATTATTTTGCACTTATCATCTGGCGTTGGACTTGAACCTGGAATCTTGTGAGCCAGGTGGGAGGGTGTGACCGTGTCTGACGCTGCAAAGAAAAAAATCTTTGTCACCATCTCACTTAAAACGATCTCGGACCAGTTGCTGTTTGTGAGAGGGTTCCAAATTTCTACCACCCTTCCTATGTCTAATTGTTTCCTCATCTCACTGCAGTGCTACAGCTCAAATTCTTTTGACCAAGACCTTGGTGGAAATAGTTGAGTTGATAGTTTCTCTCTTCCATGTTATCTGGAAAACTTTGATTCGATCCCGCCCTTCACCTTTTGAACTCCGGGGAGTGTAAGGCTGATTTGTGGGCTCGTCCTCCTGTAGCTTAGCCCTTTGAGCCTGGGTGTCCGTTTTGGTTTCGATTAACTGCATAGAACATAGAACAGTACAGCACAGTACAGACCCTTAGGCCCATGATGTTGTGCCGAACTTTTACCCTAAACCTAAGGTCTTTCTAACCTCCACCCCTACCTTATACTATCATCCAAACGCCTATCTAATAGCCGCTTAAATGCCCCTAATGAGGCCGACTCCACTACCCTCTCCGGCAATGCATTCCTTGCCCTGACCACTCTCTGAGTAAAGAACCTACCTCTGACGTCTCCCCTATATCTACCTCCACTCACTTTAAAACTACGCCCCCTCGTACTAGCTACCTCCACCCTAGGAAAAAGTCTTTGGCTGTCCACTCTATCTCTACCTCTGATCATTTTGTACACCTCTATCAAGTCACCTCTCATTCTTCGTCGTTCTTAAGAGAAAAGCCCTAGCTCTCTCAACCTTTCCTCATAAGACCTTCCCTCCATTCCAGGCAACATCCTGGTAAATCTCCTCTGCACCTTTTCCAACGCTTCAACATCTTTCCTGTAAGAGGTGACCAGACTGGACACAATACTCCAGATGTGGCCGAGCCAGGCTTTTGTATAGCTGGAGCATAACTTCACGGCTCTTGAACTCAATCCCTCTATTAATGAAAGCTAACACACCATATGCCTTCTTAACAACTCTATCGACCTGGGTGGCAGCTTTCAGGGAACTGTGGACATGAACCCTGAGATCCCTCTGCTCATCCACACTGTCGAGAATCTTTCCGTTAATCCTGTATTCTGCTTTCAAACTTGTCTTTCCAAAATGAATCACCTCATACTTTTCAGGGTTAAACTCCATCTGTCACTTCTCAGACCAGCTCTGCATCCTATCAATGTCCCTTTGTAACCTAGAACAGCCCTCTGCACTATCCACAACTCGACCCACCTTTGTATCGTCCGCGAATTCACTAATCCACCCTTCCACTCCTTCATCCAAATCATTTACAAAAATCACAAATGGAAGAGGACCCAGAACAGATCCTTGTGGTACTCCACTCGTAACTGAGCACCATGTTGAATATTTTCTGTCCACTACCACCCTTTGTCTTCTCAGGGTCAGCCAATTCTGAATCCAATCTGCCACAATTCCCCCATCCCATGCCTCCCTACTTTCTGCATGAGCCTACCATGGGGAACCTCATCAATGCCTTACTTAAATCCGTGTATACCACATCCATTGCTCTACCTTCATCTACATGTTTGCTCACCTCTTCAAAGAATTCAATAATGTTTGTGAGGCATGATCTACCCCTCACAAATCCATGCTGACTATCACGAATCAAACTGTGCCTATCCAAGTGATCATAAATCCTATCTCTCAGAGCCCTTTCCAATAATTTGCCCACCACTGAAGTAAGATTAACTAGCCTATAATTTCTGGGATTATCCCTATTCCCTTTTTTGAATGAGGGAATGACGCTTGCCACTCTCCAATCTTCCGGCATTATACCCGTGGACAGTGAGGACAAAAAGATCATCACCAAAGGCCCTGCGATCTCTTCCCTCGCTTCCCATGGAATCCTTGGATAAATCCCATCAGGTCCGGCGGACTTATCTATCTTCAAGTTCCTCAAAAATCCTAGTACATCTTTCTTACTAACATCCACTGCCTCCAGACTACCAGCCTGTTTCACACTGTCCTCCCCTGAAACTAGGTCCCTCTCGGTTGTGAATACCAAAGAAAAGTATTTATTAAGGACCTCTCCTATCTCTTTAGGCTCCGTGCACAAATTCTCTTTACAATCCTTGATCGGCCCTACCCTTTCTCTGGTCATTCTCTTATTTCTCATGTACATGTAAAAAACCTTGGGGTTTTCCTTGATCCTATCTGCCAGGGTTTTCTCATGCCCCCTTATAGCTCTCCTAAGCCCTTTTTTCACCACCTTCCTGGCTAACTTGTATCCCTCTAGAGCCTTTTCCGATCCTTGTTTCCTAAACCTTATATAAGCCTCCTTCTTCCTCTTAACCAGTCGTTCGACCTCTCTCGAGAACCAAGGCTCCCTCACTCGACCACATCTTCTCTGCCTGCTAGGGACAAACATATCGAGCACACGCAGTTTGCATTCCTTACACGATCTCCACATTTTCAGTTGTGCCATTTTCTAAAGTTCTGTCCTTGCAGTATCTGTTTTGCACTTGTTTGGTTTAACACTGCTGCCCTTCGAGCACTCCCTGGGATCACTAGTCGCCCTAATCCTTTCCCCCTCACCTGTATGAATAGGCTGTTGGACACGTTACCGTGCCCTGTTAGCAGCGGGTCGGAAGTTCTTTATTCACTCACGGGATGAGGCTGGCCAGGCAGCATTTATTGCCCATCCCTAATTGCCCAGAGGGCAGTTAAGAGTTAACCACATTGCTGTGGGGCTGGAGTCACGTGTAGACCAGACCAGGTAAGGATGGCAGTTTCCTTCCCTAAAGGACATTAGTGAACGAGATGGGTTTTTCCAACAATCGACAATGAATTTATGGTCACCATTAGATTCTTAATTCCAGATATTTTATTGAATTCAAATTCCACCATCTGCCGTGGCAGGATTTGAACCCAGGTTCCCAGAACATTATCTGGTGTCTCTGGATTAACAGTCCAGCGATAATACCACTAGGCCATCTCCTCCCCTGACCACACCACCTCACCACATGTGAAAGATTGGCAGAATGTGGCAGCGTGCCCTGACAAAGATGTGCTTCTTCTGTATTGGGACTCGGGGAGTCAGCAGCCCATTGACTAACCGTCACATCTGTTTCTTTTCAAACCTCCAGAAAGAAGAGAGGGCGGCCTCGGAAACATCCCCTGGGCAGCATCCCGCTGGGTTCGAAGGTCATGTGCAAGGTTTTCACGCACACGCTGTACACAGCGGAGCAATGTGCCGCTGAGCGGTGCCACTTACCGCAGGAGGACACCGTGGAGTGGGTGCAATGTGATGACTGTGATGCCTGGTACCATGTGGCCTGCGTCGGCTGTAATTACACCGCCATGAAAGAGGCTTCAGCTGAGTTCCACTGTGGTTGCACATAACAGTCACTGTGGGCAGAGTCAAAGGACACGTCGGTGACTCTCTCTGTCTCTCCAGTCAGGGTTCTCTTTTTTCTTTTAAGGCTCTGTGACTGTGAGTGAAAACGTCGACAGTCTGCTGTGCCCGCTGGCCTTTCTCATTCTTAGCCATTCAGTATCTGGGAGCCTTCTTGAATTTTTAACGCTGTTGCGGGCCACATGTTCCAGGGTTTTCAGTGGCTTCCGCTCCTGCGGAGTCTTATTGGCAGTCGACAAGGTAGTTAAAGTATTGCATATATTATTTTTACTTTCGCTAGAGAGGGTGCAGTTAATTCTGAAGCTCGGCAACGGGTCGGCAAATCCCATATCGATAGCTGTAGACAGTAGCGTGGGCGGTCAGACTTTGCAAAGTGCCTGAAAGTCTGATTCCTTTCCACATCCTTGGCAGGGCACGGGGAGACAAGGAGTGCTGGATCAGGGTGCCCTCCAAAGCCTCCTTGTGATAATAAGCTATTTCAGTATCAAAACTCGCAAGATTGTCATGAGCAATTTGAATATTTAGCCGTCGTGCTTTGAAGGAAATCTTACTGCCATCGTTGTGATCAGGGTCCCAAGCGCAGAAGGGCCGGTTCTTGATGGTTTTCATCAGCAAACACATCGCAGAGAACTGAATCATTGAGATTTCAAATACCATGATGCAATCTGACAACTGAACTATTTGCAAGATCTGTAACAATAACGTCTCAGTATATTTGATCCAACATAATTTACCAGCAAGGGGAGAAAATCCATCAAGAATCCTGTTGTTGCTCATTATCCAATCGTCTTGAGTTGGACTGTGCTCTGTGTGTTGTTGAGGGCTCCTGGGTTTATTCTTTGTGGCTTAAATGGAATCGCAGAATTATTGCAGTGTAGAAGAAGGCTAATCGGCCCATTGAGCCTGCACCCCTTCTATCACCTGGTGCAGCTACTGCTGCTAACATTCCCAACCTCGGAGCCTGGCGTTTGCCTGAGTCCACACAGCAAACAAATGCTCATTCAACAATAAATGATGGTGCATTAGCTGCTTTGTGCCAGGCCACATGAAATGGAGGGTTTTTTTTGGCATTCCTGGTGATATTTGCTGCCTTGCACAGATGGTTTCCAGTGGTATATAGTTCTTGAGTCCCTGGCTTGGCAGATGATATCTTGGAGAGTCTTTCAAGAATGCTCTGGAATGATTTCCCCTACCAGCTGTGACCGTGAGCTTCCGGGAGGTTGGGTCAGGGATGTCAGGGAGCCGGAGATATTTCCCATTCAGTGTGATTGATTGGTCAGCCTCCAAAACTTTGTGTCAATTCAGCACAGTCCAGTGAATGACTTTGAGCGAGGACTTGGCTCACAAATCAGGAAGATATGTTGTGCTTGCACAGTGTCTTTTCGAATCCTTCTCAGAATTTTGTTTTTTTGTGTCACAGCCAATGAATTACTTTCAAAAAGTAATCACTTTTTTGTTTTTTTGTAAGCCAATACGGTTTTGTTTACAGGAGATTTTGGCTGCATTCCAGACTGATTCCTGGGATGGCAGGGCTGATGTGTAGAGAGTGACTGGAGCAGGAGTTAGGCCGGTATTCACTGGGATTTAGAAGATTGGTGAGGCTGGGGGTCAGGGCAATCTCATAAAAGCCTGTAAATTTCTAACAGGGCTGGGCAGGAGGGATTTTCCCGATGACTGGGGAGCCTACAACCAGGGGTCACAGTCCAAGGATGTGAAGTAGGCCATTTAGGACTGAGATGAGGAGAAATTTCTTCAACCATGGAGCAGGGAGCCTGTGAAATTCCCTGCCAAAGAAAGCGATTGAGGCCAAAACAACGAACCTTTTCAAGAAGAAGTTAGACCAGGACTAAGGGCTTCAAAGCACATTAGGAGAAAGCAGGAACAAGGGACTGAGTTGGATCATCAGCCATGATCATATTGAATGGTGGAGCAGGCTCAGAGGGCCAAATGGCCAACTGCTGTTCCTATTAACTGTGTTTATTGTTCCAAACAATGTACACTGGAACAGCCCCCAGTATGTCTGATTATGGACAGCCCCTTTGATCTGCAGGTGGTGCATCAGATTCTTCTGTTCCAGTTCACTGGGAATCCGTATTTCACACGGGGGAGAATAATGGAAACAGCAATTATCATTGTTAACCAAAATCTGACAGCAAATAAGTGTTCATTCAACAATAGATGATGGCGCCTTAGCTCCTTTGGGGCTTTTCTGTATCAGGCCACAATTAAGTGGGGGGTGTTTTTTTTTTAACATTCCTGGTGATATTTGCTGCCTTGCACAGATGGTTTCCAGCGGTATATAGTTCTTCAGTCCCTGTTGTGTTGTCCAGGACTTCGTCAGGACCCCAGTACAATCGTTCAAATCGTATTTGACCACGTTTCTGTTTGCCTTCTAACAGAGAATTGTGCTGACCGGAGCCCCGAACATCAATAATGTTATTTTACAAGATGCATCCTTCCCCTACCGCGGCCAGGAATGTTTTCTTGTAGGTTTTAAAATAACGTGCTGCTTCGGGCAAATGAGACTGACCACCTGATGGATCTGAAATTGAACTGAGTTCAGCCGACTTTTGTTTCGATTGAACTGTGTTCCCTCCCAGCAGCTTGAGCAGCAAAACGCCGCAAATCTGAGACAAAAAAAAACAATTTTTCCAGAATACCCCCGCAAGCCAGGCCTTGTGTGGAGTCTGGATGAAGGGTCACAGACCTAAAACATCAAAGCTGGCTTCTTTGTCAACAAATCCTGCCCAACCAGCTGATTCTCTCTCGTGGGAGGGTGCACCTGGCTTCAAGAATCCATTTACTGTTCAAACTCCTCGTGTTTGAAGGTTTAATGTGGGTGGGAGGAGGCTGGCAGGTTTTTGATTTAAATTCAGGGAAGCTGAAGTGATGGTGGAGAATATCTACGGTTAACAATGAGCCTCACAAAGCCAGATGTTTGTTCAAAGAACATGCCTGAACCGAAGTCACCTGGTGACAGGAGCTGTTTTGGAACGGAGAGCATTAAATTATCACTTCACGCTGGATGAGAAACTTTTAAAAGACTTTGAGGGTCCTTGGCTTTATAAACGGACATGTAGAGGTGGAGACAACAAGGTGCAGGGCTGGATGAACACAGCAGGCCAAGCAGCATCATAGGAGCAGGCCTGCTGTGTTCATCCAGCCCTGCACCTTGTTGTCTCGGATTCTCCAGCA